AAATCTGATATCTTTTATTAGACCAACCCAATTGAGTTGGTCTAATAAAAGATATCAGATTTACCCAAAGAGCCTCGTCTGCCTATGTCCTCAGACCAACACAGCTACAACCTACACTCCTGATTCAATTCTCAGAGGCTTTCAAGCACCCATTGCCTGGAAAACCTCAAGGGCCCAGTTCCTTGCCCCCCCACATCATGCAGAGGCACCTATGCCAGGGTAACAGAGTGAAGAGCAGGTAGAAAACGTGTCACTTCCAGGCCAGGTGCAGGACACAGGGTTTGGAGACTGATCCCTCTGGGGTCCTATGCTGTCCCCATGCAGCCAGGGGGTTGACTACGCACAGAGGTCACAGTGCAGTGGCTGCAAAGTGCAGTCCAGGGTCCATCCGAACTGCACGTGAATCGAAGGGGGAGAAGTTCAGATCCAAAAACCTTTCCTTGGAAAACACTCCGTTTCACACCTGAATTTCTCACCCATTTTGCTGGGACGCGACGCTGCATTGCCAAAAGTCCCAAAATGTCATCAGAAGGAAACAGTAAAAAAAGGCCCCTGAGCCTAGACCCAGAACTGCACATGTGGGGTTTCATTTGGGGGTGAGAAAAGTGAAATCTGCTCCTCTGAGGTCAATGCAACAACATAGATGTTTTTCCAACTTGCTTTGGTTAAGGATCCTCTGTTCTCACAGCCCTGCCTTCTGCCAGGGCCGACTTTGACCCCTGCCCATCCCACGGCTCCGTGGTTGCATTTCTCTGTTTTCCAGGGTGACCCCCCATCCCCTCATCACTGCTAGCCTGGTTAGGTCCTGGCCAGTGCAACCAGCTCAGAGCATCCGTCAAGACAGTGTGCAGCCCTGGGCTCGCTGCTGGGCCTGATGCCATGGGGAGGGCCCCAGAGGGGCATGGGGGAGTCCAGCCCAGGGCTCCTCATGCTGTGCCCCCAGCTGGCACCGCCCAAGCCTATGGCATGTCTGCCTGTCATGGCCAGCTACTCCTGCCCATCTCAGTTCAGTGGAGAGGCAGGCCACAGGGAAAGCCTCAGGGCTGGTGGGGGGGTACACAAATGAACTCACAGTGGCTCATACATTGAGCAGGAGCCACCTTTGACACCAGCGGGCAGCACCAGGGGAGGGAGAGGAAGGCCCCTGGGCCTAACCCCAGGCTGATGGAGTCTGGGGATTCCCAGCCATGAACCCTCCCTGGGGAGCCCAGCAAGAGTCAGCCAGCCCATAGTCCCCGGGAACAGCTCTTGGGGCCTCCTGGGCAGTGGGAATCCATATCCTGCTCCCTGTGCTGCCCGGGACATGAAGCCGCTCTGGCACCTGCCAGGGGATGGTCCAAGGCAGAAGCTGGGCAGTGTAGGAGGGAGCTGAGCTCGGCCGATGCACGCACCCTGCCCAGTGACATGGCCCTTCCTGCCCCGGAGTGGGTGGTACGGGGAAACCCATCCAAGTGCCCCATGGCAGCCTGAGCATCATCCCCTTGGCACAGGTGCCAGGCAGCTCAGCAGCTCACAGCTGCCCGGCATCGCTGGAGCCAGGCAGTGGCTGAGTGGGCTCCCAGGGGGCCACAGGGGCAGGACAGTGCCTCGGGGTGCCCACACAGCAGAGCCATAGTCCAGCAAGAACTTGGGCCCCATGCTGGGTGGCCATGACATGGTGCCCAGCCCACATGCACTGCCCATGCTGGGGGCTGGGGGCAGCGCTGTCCCGAGAGCTGCTCTGCTCCCAGAACACAGCTGGCTGGGGCAGCCCTGCCTGGTCCTGCCCTGGGCCTGCAGACTGCCCCCTGCTCTCCGGGTGTCTTAACCTTACCTGCCCTGCTCCCCAGGCCTTGCTCACCCCAGTCCCTGTGTGGAGGCCTTGCTGGCATCCAGCCCAGCCCTGCCCAGTACTGCACCCATCCCCCACCCTCCAGCCCCTTGTCCTCTCCCCCGGCCCCAGCCTCAGGGCTCGGCAGGCTCAGGCACCTCCTCACAGCCCTCACATTGGGACTCTGCCCCTCCACAGGGCTGATGCCCCTCCCTGCACCTTCTGTCATGGCCCCTCTGCACCCCAAGAGGCACAGGCCTCGGGTGTTTTGATGCCCTGGCTGTGCCTCAGTTTCCACATCAGTGCTCTAGTCTAGCTTAAGGTCTATTCCAGCAACGCCTCCTGCTCTGCTGCCTGGCAGCCCCTACCCTGACTCAGCTCCCTTGCAGGAGGGAAGTTCCTTGTGGGCTCTGCCCTGATAGGCATGGTGCTGCCCATGCACCTGCTCTCAGTGGGGTTTGCCAGGCCTATCGCAGCTGAGCTTCCCTCACTAACACCGAGACCCTCCTGCCTCTGTGCAGCAGGACACAGCCACCCCACCAGTGCCAAGCATGACAGCCCTCCTTAGCACCCATGTCTGCCCTAGGCCTGGACCCAGGGGTCGACCCCCTCACTGCCCTGAACCCACTGCTGTCCTCCCACTCATGCTGCGGCCTGGCTTGCAGATGAAGCTGCTGGGGGTGGAGGGGCTAACTGGGTGCCAGAGTGTGTGCCAAGGGCAGTGCACACCCAGGGCTGCGAGCTACAGGGCACAGGAGACCGTGGGCACGGTGGGTGCATGGGGGGAGTCAGGGTTTTCATCACAGACACACACATGGGTCCCTGGGAGTCCCCTGACTCTAGGAGCTCAGGTTTTAGGGAGAGCAGATGATGGCATGAGACCCTGGGGCCAGGGCAACTGAGACACCCCATGTCTCAGGGAGGTGCCCAAGGGGGCTGAGCCTCTGAGAACCACTGTGTTTAAACAGAGTCTGTCTCCTCTGCTCCAGGTACACAGCTCCCAGGGCGTCCCAGGGCAGCTGGCCCCCAGCACAAAGGCAAAGGCATGGAGAAGGCATGGGCTCTGAGCCACGGGGGATGGGGACTGGCAGGTAGGACCCCAACAGCCCCAGCTCTGATGGATTAAGCTGCAGCACTGGTCCCCAGATGCCCCAAGTCTCATGCTCCATGGACTGAGCTCCCCCAGTTCAGGGGCAAGACATGGCCCCATACCCCTCTCGGCCAGGGGGTGCCTCTGTCAGCCCGTGCCCAGCCCCATGGGTGTCCTACAGGGCAGTCTAAAGATGGAGGGGTTCAGGGACTGGCCCACAGGCTGGGAAAGCACCGCCCAGCGCATCACCAGGCAGCCCAACTGTGTGCCCAAGCGCTCGCCAGGGAGGCACCGGCCGGATCGACGGCGCCGCGCGGTGGGAGCCCCCCGCCCTCTGGCACGTGGTGCCCCGTCCTGCCTGGGGGGCCTTGGCTCAGGCCCAGCCATGAGGCCAGCTCTGCAAGGAGCTCTCTGGCACCACATCCCTCCCTAATGCTGCCTGGGCAGGACAGACCATGCTCCAAACCCCACCAGGCCTCTGCCAGCCCCTGTCCTGGCTGCTCTGCACCCCAACTCCCAACGACCCCAGAAGGGCATCACCCAGGCTGGGGTCTTGGTAGTGGGTCTGCAGGACTGGCACCCAGCTGCCCGGTGCCTCTAGGGACTGCTGTGTTTCACCTGGGGCATCATAACCAGAGACCATCTCTGCCCCAGGTGCCCCCTCCCAGGGCACATACTTCTCACCCCAACCTGAACCCAACGGCATCAGGGGAAGGGCCTGGCTGGGCCCCAGGGACTCCAGCACCCTGGGCTGGCTCAGGGCCCTGCCTGGCGCCGATCTTGGCCTGGCTGCGCTGTGCGGGGGGGAGAGGGCTCTGCTCTGCTCTGCTGGCTGCGGCTCACCGGAGCGGGCCTGCGATTAACTCTTGTGACTCTCCAGGCCGAGGTCCTGGGCAGCTGCAGGGCCTCTGCAATCAGGGACCGTTCCCCGCGTGGAAGGAGCCCAGGAAAGGGCCCTGTTGCCCCAGTGCAGGGGTGTCCCCAGGGGAGCCCTTCCAGAGATCACCACACCTGCAGACAGCAGCCGGCAGGGCAGAGACGGGGGCTGGCCCTG